ACATATGCCTATAAGTAATTGTAAAAATAATCAGATACCCTGCTTTTCGCACTGTGTAACATGGCCACTAGATAGTACGAGCTGGCAAGATGCGTGCATATGTTTCAGAAGTAACGCATGGGTTCATTCAAGGATTAAAAAACTATCATCAGTTGAACTTGGAATGATTCCCTGTGAACAATAACTGTCATGATCCGTGCTGGGACCTAAATGAAGAAAATTTGGCCAACTGGTGTGGCGTGCGTGATTTTCATCGCAAGATCTGCGCTAGGCGTCATTTGCAATAAAATGATTATTGTTATGTTGCTTAGGTCACGTGTTCGGTAATTTATACTTGTGGGTATGGCGAACAACTGTGCGCTAAACTGATTACTGACGTTTGACGGCAATTGTGTTGGTCCTTATCGCAAAGTGGCATTTGCACAGAGGGATGAGATTCCTCAACTTATGCCATTTGCGTGGTGCGTTGTTGGGAGATAAAACGAAGTTATAAATAGCTTCGTCTTTTAAACTCCCGAAAAGGTGACCACAGAATGATACATAAAATAAGTTGCTTAGGATATTTGAATTGCCCGGGCTCACACAACACAAGGCCATATGGTTATGCACCTACGAGTATATCAGCAGGATAGAATCCAATTCTTACGTCTTAGATTTCGCTGCCCGTACTCTTCCATTCTTGCCAGTCCCCACAGACCACGGCTGACATCCAGTGGGACAAATTTAATGTTTTAGTAGTTGAAGGAAGAAAATACCAATTCTTATTCTAAAGCGCATACTTTGAGGTCACTATTGCAAATGTTCGGAGCGCAATAATAACCAATACATTTTGTAGTGTAGTACATATTTGGAATTGGATCATGTAGGCAACCTTAAGGATGTTCCTAATAACTACCAACATGGAAGCGCGGGTTTCATTACACACATTCAAATGGGAGATAGTCGCACTGACCCTAGCAATTATCGTCCGATACTGCCTATTACTATGTTTCTAGGGTCAGAGAGTCAACGATCTCAGGTGCAATAATGCAGTATCCGGAAAACCATGGTATCATGGTCCCAGCGCAACATAGCGTTCGCTAAACCCGCATATAAATTAGGAAACGTTTAATTGTACCCATTACTTGGACCGGAAACTATATTCTACCTGGAGTCGTTATCATCTGTTTAAACTTCTTAATATTGTTATATCGCTTTGATCACCGCATTATAATGTTTAGAGCTATGATAATGGCGATCCGATGCTGTGTTGGATAGATAAGTTTCCACACCATTGCTGGTTGGAGGTAGAAGTCCAGGAATTTCTGTCTGACGCAACTCAGTTGAAGTGCGCTAAAGCATAAGACTCAGTGCTAGAGCTTCGTCTATTCTTCCTATTCACAGACTATCCAGCCAATTCAATCACTTCCGATTCCCCATGTTTTACTGACGCTATAAAGATATGGCGAGCGACCAGAGTACCCCCGACCGAACAAGGAGGGATGCAAAGAGATCATAAAACGATTCCAAAATGGTCATTACAAGAAGCCCTAACGTTTATTGTTAAGTAACGCCGTGTTGTTCGACCGCGCAATAGGCATGACTAGACCTATTGTCTTGGGGCACATCCATTGCAAACCAGTACCTTTGAAGGCAACCTAGGTGTAATTTTACAAAGTTAAATCAACTGTCGAAATTGTCTGAAGCAGAGGTGAACAATAAAACCAGAATTTCGGTCTGCTGCGGAGGGTAATCTGGAGTCCTGGCAATTTCCTCTTCCCGATGGCACGATTTTTATGTGCGTCCGCAATTTGCATAACATGTACCATCATAGAAAACTTTGCTAATGCGCGCGGTCGATGTTCTAACGCAGATATTTTAAAGCAGAGATAAAAGAATTTCAGTGGACTAAGAAACCTGTCTTAACAGTCTAGACTGAAGTTGTTGCGAATGTATAGCGTACGGTATCAAAGAGTAGCCGAAGATCTCATATTAATGCATTTAAAATGAGTTACCCCAGAAACGGAACCATAATATCAAGCTACTTGGTAACTACATGAAAGCGTGTGCACATCACGGCCGTCTAGTTTTTCGACGGAATTCTTGTTCTCTTCGAGTTTGCCAAAACTGGGATTCTTCCCCATACTCAGTTAGCTCGTCAAATATGTTGAGCTTTTAAATGCGATTGGATGTGGCTTTCTACCAAAACTACCTAACCTGTGCAACTGTGGACTCCAATAAACATGCCCGCATACCAGGACAAGGTGTCCATGTACCGTAGGAAATGTCAGACGAGCGAGCAAATTATGTTATATTCAACGTATACAATAGGCCAACTATTACTCTGCTTCAATACCGAATGCTTGCATTAAATTTATATTTTGCTAAGTGCATAAAGCAACGCATTTAACTCGATAGATACATAAACTTATAAATTATATAAAAGTTTATTTCCTGTTTTTATTGCAGCCGAGCTGCGGGTTCTCTCAAACATCTGCTTTGTGCCCTTACTAAAATCCTTTCTCATTAACCTAAGCTAAGACGGAATATGTAGACGCCGGTTTACCATCAAAGGTAGCACAATTGGATTTCTCAAAGGCATTTGACCGAGTGGACCATCGCATTATACTGCTTAAACTTCATAAATACTGTAACAGCAATCCCATTGTGTGATGGATAGGTGACTATCCGATTCAACGTTCCCTGAACATGGGTTTTTGTAGCATCCTATCGAAATCAATCGAAGTTAAAATTCGATCAACCACAGCGATCGATTCTTTGGCCCCGCCTGTTATTGGTCTTCATAACTGGTCTCGCAAGCATGCTCTCTTCAAACTGTCTACTATATGCTGATCATCTAAAGTTATGTTGTGCTGTCGCTTCAGTGGATGATCCCACCGACCCACAGAGTGAAGTTGACAAAGCGTACACATACTCCATCGAGAACCCGCTGCATTTCAACGCCACCAAGTGCCATATTCGGAGGATATGCCGCCAAAAATCTACAGCGCGCTTCTCATGAATGCGATCTTAGCTTGTTTCGTCCAAGAAGGACATGACTGTTTGTGGTAGCTTGAAAAAACATCAAAGAACGTAAACCAAGACCTTGGCTTACTTTATAGAGCTTTCGGGAAATTTTATTATTCATTCTTTCCAAAAATGCTTGGCGCAGACTAGTGCCCTTATGCAAAATACGTTAGTGAATTGTGGCAGTCCTGGCGGAATAATCACAATACCGCAAATCCGTAAGGTACAAGGCAGGGCGACAAAGAATATTGGAGGATTGTCCAGCCATCATACACACTCAAAATGCAAATCATCATATTGTACAGCGGCCGTTATGAGAGTCTACGACGAGATTCCCTAAGCGTGGAGCAGATCCTGACAATCCCCAAGCACCCATGCTATTCTTCTTTGAAACACAGGCAAAGCACATCTCTAAGTGGTCACCAACTTTTGTTAGTCACGTAGCACAGCCGCCTAGAACCTCAACGTAAAGTTTTCTCCCTGCGAGTGACACATTCCTGCAAATCCCTTCTGGCGCTTCAATAAATCTCACTACATTTTCCCTTGCTCGAAACGGCCTTGAACATACCCTTGCACATTTACTCTAAGTGATGTAGCCGAATGGCCTCCACATGATTGCATTAGTGCACAACAAACAGTAGACAGATATAACCATATTTAATTCCAGACAGGAATAATCGCAGGCGAGTTACTCCAAACACAATGGTGATTGATAATTCTCACACCAACTTTCAGCAACACTGTTTCTTGTAACTGTTTTATTCGCCTTATCTATCCCATAGGAAATAACAAGCTTTCGATTTTATTCCGTTTTAAACCCTTGCTCCACGGCTTCATGGATTTGGTCAAAGGAACAGGTATCAGATGTGGACTGATGATTAAGGAATAACAAATGGACGTAGACAAATTCGGAAATGCCTACGGTGCCTTCAGATTATCTGCGAAACAACAGGTCCCAGGAATGCATCTGTGTTAAGCTATTTTAGAATCTGTGCCATATTTAAAAGTGGCATAAATTGTTATGTTAACGATACTTCTGAATAAACCAAATGAAATTATCCTTCGCAATTAGTTTGGTGGAGGCCTTTTACTCCGTACAAAATTATGCAGAAAAATGCATGTTTTACCGAGCAAAAATGTGTTTAACATTCCGATCTAGTTGTCTTGTACGGGAAGGTTTAAATTTACGTGAGTGCTTACCCAATTTGAAGCGGCAGCACACAGGTAAATGCTTATCATAGTGTTTACATAAAGCAGTGAGGATGGTCCGGTCATCACGACACAACATGTAGTAGCACGAGCTTTCGATCATCGTAAGCTGGATCGCGTTGGTGTGTTATATATTTCTGCCATTCAACAAACTACTCAACCACTACTGAATGCACCAATGGGGCTGTAGTTGCGTTCTTCAGTTTGCGCTGAAGCAAAATTACTTAAACTCAGAGCACGATGATGAGCAAAAGAGAGGTGTTATTCCCCCGATTTATCGTAATTTAGCAGAGCATCTCCATTAATGGTTTAAAGGAAGAGCAAGCTTATTGTATTAATAAGTGTTTTATCAAATACATCGGAGACCTGCCAGTGACATGAGGAAACGCAACGTCTACCATTCGTAGGAAAATGATATTACATTTATTCGCTTTTTTGAAATAGAATTATTGAACATTCCAGAATTGGACATTTTATAGATTACCCTCATTGTGACCAATAAGATGGCCTGGAAAGCAATAGGTTTATTACATACCATGGTGACATATCGTGGTGCTATCTACCGCGATTGATAAAAATGAATGGTGCGTGTGTGCAAATTCCTCTCCTGGCGACATATATGAGGGAAGATTAAAAAGGTCTAAGGATAAGTCAGATGTTTTTCACATATACCTGTATATACAAACTTTATCTAACTCCACACAGTCCTCGTGATGTAAAGGAGCATAAGTTGAAAGGACATTGAGCCAACGATTAATGGGAATGCCCGTAGCTGCATTCCTTCGGCCATTTTGCGTTGCCAACTGCGACAAGCTTGCGATTTGGATTACAACCCGACAGCAATATATGCAAGCAGGAAAGAATTGCCTGACAAAAGCAACGTTAGAAATCTGCAAATTCCTTTGCACAGTAGTTCGTATTCGTAATCTTTATAGGCTCTTCTTCGTATTCGTCAAAATTGCTGGCATCCCCCGGTCCTTGGCATGGTGGAATATAGGGAGAAGAAAGCTGTAGCAACGGAGATCAAAAGTGAATAAATTCGTTGCATTTCACTCCGTTAGCAAAGCGTCAAGTCACAAATAACCATACTGACGTCATATTTTAAGAAGTTTTTGCAAGAGTATCTTACGTATGGATTCCAATTTCCAACGGCTAAACGCCGTGCTACTGTCCAAGTTTGTCGGAACACGAATACCAGGAAATACTTGCGAGGTCTTAAGTAATTTTGCATTCACTACGCTCTGCTGAGTTTACAAAGAAATATGCAGTAGCCGCTGATTTTTAGTGCAGCATTGCCAAAGCCCTCTTCTTAAGGATAGCGGCCTGTCTCCCGTAATCTCGTAGCTTCGACGTACCACCTTTTGGCGTTAAAATATTTTTACTGGTGCTCAGTATGAGTCACCTCAGGAAAAGTAAATACACGTGTGATAGGTATTTATCAACTAAATGGTGGTTTATGCTGCAAAAATTCAGTAGCTCTTGACGAAAAACTCGGTCATTCAAAGACAAATGGATTTTTCCTCAAAACAACCTCAGAGAAAATGACAACACAAGTCCCAAGTAGAAAATTCAATGTAAATTACTAACTAATGTCCATAAGTAACGACCCTTATGCACGTATGCACTCTTTGGGTTCTTTTTAAATCAATCAACTAAAACTGCTCCCGTGCAAGCAAATGCACTCGTATCAGCGCATAGAAGATTACGCGTAGACGTCCAAACAAATGCTTCTTTTGCTTGCGGCAAGTCTGCTGTTTGCTTCATTATTTAATAATGTTTAGTGATTTTTATTTCATAGTCCCAACAATGTTTGGAAATATTTCTAAGATAGAATTAAACGATTTCTAAAATATTATCCGTAAATTATTTGTATCTATATATAGCATATGTGCAGTTACTTCGTTCCAATTAACGGTATGCTAGACCGTGTCTTCTGAATGCGTCAGTTGTGTCAATTTACATTATGTCATACTAAAAGAAAATGTCTCCATGATATGGACAAGCAAACGAAATATGTACTCCCTGCACTGGTTTAGCATATTTGTGCTTTACATAGTTGAGTTGTGACAAATAATTCAATACAGCTCCTTAATTTGGTCTAAGTAACAAATGTGCTTTCGCTGCTAACTGCTAATCCCCTACGATTTGACACATGAAATACTACTATTCTTAACAATGGAAAATATAGTCTATGGATAAAAGCTATCACAATAAACTGTGTTACCTTTGTTTAAGTACTCAATGAAAAGGTACTAACGAATTTCACATATCTGTTCGTTCGAATGATCTAACTTACACAGGTAATTGTTGGCCTTGCTGCCTGTTTCTTTGCTATAATTAATGATGAGCGTGACGTTCGGAAACGTTTAGCCACACATTCAAATTGTACATAAGGACGCTTAATCTTTCGCAAACAAACATTAGCTTAACTTGGTGTGGATGTGGGCGTTGCCCCTCGACCCACTGAAAGTGCCCACAGAAAGTGCCATAGGGCCACTTGAGAAGAAATGCAGCCAAATTTTCCAATAGTTAAAGGTTAGGCAAACCCAATATCATGTTGTTCCAAGAGTGCTTTGAAAATAGAATTACTTCCATTGCGGTAAAAACAAAATTTGCAACCCACGGATTTGCGGACAAAGTTTAGGTCCAAATACTTTAGCGGCGCCTATTGCTGGTAAAACAAAACTAAAAGAGATAAGGTAGTCCTGCGCCCACAGGATTTCACCGATTTTGCTGAGGCGTCATAATCACAAGGTCTTCCAAGCACCAGAGTCGAATGATGAAAACTAATAAATATGTATGATCACGAGGTTGAATTCCTTCTGGGACACATCTGTACATCCATGGATGTGAGTGAATACAGTGTGACAATTAAACAAGTTTACCGAATTGGTCAGCAAACTATTCAGTCATGCAGACCCATGAGAATCACCTTTGATAATCACAATATGCCGCAATTCATATTGTCTCGTCTGTCAAATCTGAAGGGTATACATGAGCACATACGCCAAGACTTGGACTCTGAAGAGTGGGATCGTTTGAAGGCTGCGCTCCTTAAACTCAAACAGAAAAGGTTGGCACTTACACATTGCTAATTTTTGTGGGATCAAGAATGATGTACGAGCCCGTGTCAATCGACTGCTGAAGCTTTAGCAATCTCCAGAGGTACCTCCCAGAATTTCCCTTTTGGCATTGGCTGACATATGCGGCCTAATTAACAATCGTGGAGAACTTTGACGATTTAATGTATTCGAGCGGTCAGACGTCCCAAGATTTGCAGACTTGGTTGAATCCCGACGTAATATCCCAAAAGTTGCGTTGTCAGGATAATCTTGTTTCCGATGCGGCCGAAAATCAAAGGCTCACGTTGATGTTCTGTTGTACATTAAATCGCCACTATCTGGCAAACTTACCAGCACCTATCGGAGAGAGGATAGTTAGGCGAGCAACTGCGGTGCACAATCTGCCTCAGGTGCGCAAAGCTACTCGGGGGTGTTATCTACCGTAACCCATCAAACAGTTGTTGCGATTCGCTACCACATTTACAGAAGCACATTGGCCGCACTCAGTTCTTAATGATTGGGATCTAAATTTACCTGCGATATTTTCGCCAGACTTTCGACTACTTCCCGGTCATGGCAAAGTTGAGACTCAATTCGTTAAAATGACTATTGCCTATTGAGCTGAAGGAGATCAGAGTCATTGAACCTCTGGCGAACAATGATCATTTCCCCACTGTGAAAAGCATAGAACAGCCGCTACCTTATTACAAAAAACAGGAACTGAAATTCAAGTATTGGAAGATGAACTTTAACGTGCTCGCCCAAACCGCAAGTCAGAATGATAGGACACTACCACAGAATGCGCTTCTTGAGGTCTGGTTGTCATTAATGACGGGAAGGTTAACCCGCTGTGTACTCTGCTCGTTCTCCTGAAGTATGCCAAACTCAGACCCCTCAAACCTAATTGGTTTGTTACGAAATATGAACAGTTTTCGCGACTGAGTTGCGAAGTTTAGGATAAATGCATCATCTCAAACTGTGATGCAGATTACACGGTGTACAAGAAGGAGCCTAACATATGTAACGCCTTAAAGATCAAGAAAGGCCAGTTGTTCAAATTGGAGCTAGCAGCCTCGGCTTCAACCGCCCCCAAGAGAATATACACCTACTTGAATCGTCAATCGAAATCTGCACGCGACCTACCGGTTTTAGAGAGCTTGCAATGACAGACGCTGATTACAATCGCCAGGCAGTCGGACGACTTTGCTTCGCACTTACCGTATTTTATAAAATCTCGCGGTTGTTACAGTGCAGGCACATGTTGCACCAGTCTTGCACGGCAAACTACAATGTGATGCAGTCGCAGTGTATTTGTTGCTAGTCAGTGTCGATGGTGCAAAGTCCTTCGGTCCTGTCGCATTTCACGCACTAATACGTAACTGAGACCGCTTCCCAAGTGTGGCGGTCGGATTAGATTTGTAAACTATAGACCAATCAGTCTTTATTTTATATTGTCCAAACTTCTCATAAAGGTTGTGATAAAGAGTCTGCTGTCGTCCTTCGATTCGGTGGACGTACTGACGCATGCGCAACACAGTTTCACAAAAAAGCGATCCTGCGTCATCAATTTGATATACGCAAACCACCATTGGATGCGAGCTCTCAATGAACGGAAGAATGTTGACATGTTGTATGTCGACAGAGTGAAGCATGAGGTACTCCTCCGTAACCTGAGGACATAGCGAATAGGTGGCACGATTCAGTGGTTACACGAGTTTGTTGCAGAACGGAAGTTTAATGTACAGGTCAATGCCTACCTGATAGACTGGTTTTCATCGAGCATTGGCGTACTCAGGGAACTGCACTTGGGCCAGTATTCTTTCTTATTCTTATCCACGATGTTTCGCAGCAACTCCAGTGACCATGTGCCATCTTTCGGAGTGCTTGAAAATCTAGAGGCTCAATGCGAACCAGGACGAAGGTGCTCTTCTGTAACAGGATTAAGATGGACCATCAAGGTGGTCTACTGAAATGTAATTCCCCTTTCCACGCAAGCAATTTGAGTTCATCCGTGTCACGTGACGTGTAGCAACCCGAGCATACAATTTTAACGGTCAGTTGCTTCACCCCAACACATGTTTCAGGGATTTAGTAGTGTTCTCTCGACATGATATGAGATCAAGAGAAAATATAGGGAAGTTGCACCGTGCGGGACATCGTATTCTCCGGGCCTTAAGACGCAGTTACTCCACATGTTCCGAAGAACCTCTCCCTTACTTACTCACCATACTCTTCAATCCAAGACATGAATACGGCGCCCCACCTTGCCATCCGATAATCCAGTAGGAAATGGAAAAGCTAGAGAAAATATAACACGTCACAACCAGAATTTTGCTCGCTCTACGAAAAATTCCGTGTGAAAAAATATGTGAAATGTTCGGACTTTACAAACTATCCTATCGCTATTTGGTATTGAGCTTATTATGACGCAATAAATAATACACTTAAAACACTTCCCCTACTGCGGCCTAGATTTCACCTGTTGGGACCCTGTAACCCACATGGACACCTCCACAATCTCAGGGTCCAAACATAAACAGGATATCACATCGGCCTTGTGTATAATGAGGAATAGTAAACTTTGGAATAAACTACCAGAAGAACTAATAGATGCCGGTTCTGTGGTGTTTCAAAACACCTTTCGGCGATTATTTTGGAAACCTTTGCTTTTGTGAAACGGTACACATATAATGCAATAAAATACCTCCTATACGCGGAAATTATGATACCAATACGAATTCCTAACCGAATAAGGACAAACGATCATCCTAACAATCACCACCACTGACAATCTGCAATTAAATAGTTTTGATTTTTCATACTTCCACAGCTTTTTACAGAAGATTTTCTACGCTTTTAAATACACTCAGTTGCACCGTCATCTACTGGCCGCTACAAAGCTACGGGTTACCTCGGTAACACCGGCTTGCAATTATGTCATGAGCT